ATTCGTAAACCGCGTTCGAGAATCGAGTCTTCAACCGATATTCACGAGATATTAAAAATAGATTGCATCGAGACAAGCGACGTTGTAGATTTGACGCACGTGTCAACCGAACATCGAGGCATCATTGAGGAATTAATTAATAATTACAAACCAAAAAAGGCATGCGAGATAGATGTCAAACTAAATATAATTTTGAATGATAAAGAACCCGTTTATCAGAGACCCAGACGTTTGTCGCCGACGGAAAAAAAGGTAAACGCGCATATAACCGAGTGGCTGGAAAAGGGCATTATTTGACCGTCTCTGTCGGATTATGCAAGCCCCGTAGTTAAAAAAAAACGGGAGGAATTAGATTATGTATCAATTACCGACAGTTAAACAAAAAAATTATAAAAGATCGATATCCGCTTCCTCTAATTGACGATCAGCTGGATGCGTTGCAGGGAGCTATCGTGTTTAGCACTATCGACTTGAAAAATGGATTTTTTCATGTCCCGCTAGAAAAAGAAAGTAGAAAATATACATCGTTCGTGATCCCGGATAAACAGTACGAATTTCTCTATACACCTTTCGGACTGTGTAATTCACCGGCGGTATTCCAAAAATTTATTAATGCCGCTTTTGATAATTTAATTAAAAACGGTTTAATTTTAACATATATGGACGATCTAATTATTCCATCCAAGAGCGTCGAAGATGCGATTGCGAGTCTTCGAAAAGCATTGCAAGTAGCAAAAGAGGTTGGATTGGATATTAATTGGAAAAAATGCAAATTTTTGGTGACTAAAGTCGAGTTTCTCGGTCATGTAATCGAAAATGGCACAGTGCGCCCTTCGGAACATAAAACTGACGCGGTGATAAAATTTCCAGAGCCGAAAAATATTAAACAGCTGCAAAGTTTTTTAGGATTGACGGGATACTTTAGAAAATTTATTAGAGACTACGCTTTGATCGCGAGACCGCTGAGCGACTTATTAAAGACGAACACCGAATTTATTTTTCGAGAGAAAGAAAAAGAAGCTTTGAGTCGATTGAAATTTGTATTGAGTAGTAAGCCAGTGTTGCAATTGTATAATTATAAAGCTGACACAGAATTGCATACAGATGCCTCCATGTNCGGTTACGGTGCCATATTATTGCAAAAATCTAATTATGATAATTTAATGCATCCGGTATATTTTGCGAGCGGAAAGACCACCGACGCGGAAATGAAATACACGAGTTATGAGCTGGAAGCTTTCGCTATCGTGAAAGCGTTACGAAAATTTCGCGTGTATTTACTAGGTATCAATTTTACTATTGTTACCGATTGTCAAGCGTTCGCGTTGACTATGAGCAAAAAAGATTTGTGCGTCCGTGTAGCCAGATGGGCTTTATTATTGGAAGANTTCAAATATGTTATCGTGCACCGTCCTGGCAAAAACATGATGCACGTAGACGCGTTGAGTCGTTATCCGTTTCCCGAAAGCATGTTAATAAACGAATCGGACGACAGCTTAGTCGCGAGAATACGAAAGGCACAAAGAGAGGATGCTAAGTTACAAAGTATTTGCGCGTTGGTAAACGAAGGCAAGGTCGACGACTATGTTATGCGTGGCGACTTGTTGTTTAGGAAAACCGGCGGCGATGTACAGTTGATAGTACCGAAGTGTATGCAATCGCAAATAGCTAGGCGTATGCATGAAAACGGTCATTTTGCGGTTGATAAAACCGAAGCGTTAATAAAACAAAACTACTGGTTCCCTAATATGCGAAATGTAATAGAGAAAGTTACTCGCAACTGCGTGGATTGCATCTTAGGCAATAAAAAATCGGGAATGTTGGAGGGCATTTTGAATCCGATACCCAAGGGCAGCGTGCCTCTTGACACTTATCACATCGACCATCTGGGGCCGCTCCCTTCAACGGCGAAAAAATATCATTATATTTTTGTTGTTGTCGACGGATTCTCAAAATTTGTATGGTTGTATGCGGTGCGATCGACTAGTTCGGCGGAAGTCGTAGATAGATTGAGGAAATCGGCCATTATTTTTGGAAATCCTAGAAGAATCATCTCAGACAGAGGAACCGCCTTTACCTCTATCGAATTTCGTGACTATTGTCGAAGCGAAAATATAGAGCATGTGTTAATCACTACAGTCGTCCCACGGTCGAATGGTCAAGTGGAAAAAGTAAATCGCACCTTAATACCACTATTAACGAAATTAGCAGCGCCTAGGTCGGAGGAATGGTATAAGTATTTGAGTTTGACTCAACAATATCTTAATGCGATTCCGAGCCGGAGTACGGGCGTGACGCCATTTCAATTATTATTTGGCACT